AAAAAAAAAGAGAGATGCAATGGATTCTTACAGTGATTTTTAGAAGATTTGACCAACCAAAAGTTAATTTTGAAAAATCTTTTTAATAAATTCTGAAAGTTTGTCTGGGTACAAATTCTGGAAATGGCTAAAAGTTTGCTAAAAAGCGTCAGTTTCACAGTGATTGAACATGCTGCAAATGTAAACTTTAAAGATAAAATATCGTCACTGTGTGAAAATTATTCTTATTCTATTCAAATTTCAGGTGGATATTGTGAACCTGCTAAGAAGAGCACATTAAAATATAAAATATGCATCTCTGTTGTCATAAGATGGTCTTATCTAACAGGTCCGACCTTATGCTTAACTAAAACATAAATCCAAAATGCTGCAGCAAGAGTACTGACAGGGACTAGAAAGAGAGAGCAGATTTCTCCTGTTTTGGCTTCCCTTCATTGGCTTCCTGTTAAATCCAGAATTGAATTCAAAATCCTGCTCCTCACATACAAGGTCTTAAATAATCAGGCCCCATCTTATCTTAATGACCTTGTAGTACCATATCACCCTATTAGAGCACTTCGCTCTCGCTCTGCAGGCCTACTTGTTGTTCCTAGAGTATTTAAAAGTAGAATGGGAGGCAGAGCCTTCAGTTTTCAGGCCCCTCTTCTGTGGAACCAGCTTCCAGTTTGGATTCGGAGACAGACACTATCTCTACTTTCAAGATTAGGCTTAAAACTTTCCTTTTTGCTAAAGCATATAGTTAGGGCTGGACCAGGTGACCCTGAATCCTCCCTTAGTTATGCTGCAATAGATGTAGGCTGCCGGGGGATTCCCATGATGCATTGAGTTTTTCCTTTCCAGTCACCTTTCTCACTCACTATGTATTAATAGACCTCTCTGCATTGAATCATATCTGTTATTAACCTCTGTCTCTCTTCCACAGCATGTCTTTATCCTGTCTTCCTTCTCTCACCCCAACCGGTCGCAGCAGATGGCCGCCCCTCCCTGAGCCTGGTTCTGCCGGAGGTTTCTTCCTGTTAAAAGGGAGTTTTTCCTTCCCACTGTCGCCAAAGTGCTTGCTCATAGGGGGTCATATGATTGTTGGGTTTTTTTCTCTGTATCTATGAAGCGCCTTGAGGCGACTTTTGTTGTGATTTGGCGCTATATAAATAAAATTGAATTGAATTGAATTGAATGAATTGAATTGAATTGAATTGAATTGAATTGAAAGGGCAGAGCCAGTTAACTTTATAATATCCTCATCCACCTAACAAGAAAAGTATGTGGCTGCTTGACACAAGCTATCCATGCCAAATAAAAGTTAACAAAATTCTGATTAACTGGTAAGGTTTGACTAATTAATACAAAGAGTCTAGTTATAAAATAACCAATATCCAAAAAACATTTGTTCTACATTAACTGCTGCTTTTTTTTTAAACAATGGTTGGTGGCTTATTGTGCTGTAAGCTAGTAATCAATATAGTATACTGTGGTGTAGTAAATACTTATAGAAAGGCTATTTATATGTTAACTTGCGTTCAATTCCCCTTTTGTATCTTAATGTGACAGAAAAACATTTTGTCAGCCCTGAAAACTTTAAAATGTCAAATATTTTCAGAAATAAAAAATATGTCAAATTTTTCTTCTGGTTGCTTCCAATGCAGTGTTTGTACGTTCATGTAGTTTTGGTCAGTCAGTGTAATAATCAGGATCATGAACAGGATCAGATGTTGTGATGAGTGAATGAAGTCAGACTGTAGATTTTCCTTCTTCTAGCTGTACTGACTGACCTTTGACCTCATGTGTTGATGACTCTTCACCTCTGTCTCCTCTCACAGGGAGAAGATGATCTGCAGGATCCTGCTGCTCATCATCCTCACCTCATGTGTCTCTGGTTAGTTTACAGCTTCACTTTATGAACTCCAAATAAAGCTCAACAACAGATTTGTTCCAGTTCTCAGTGTGTCTGCTCCTCTCTTTCCCTCTCTGTCTCCTCAACAGGATCATTTGTAGTCAATGTGACACAGACCTGCTATCAGGCAGAGGAGAACCACAACATCACACTGGAGTGGACGTTCACCACCAAACCTGACAGATCCTGGACCTACATCTTCATCCTCTGTAACCTGATAACTGAGGATAAACTCTCAGTCCTGTATCATGTTCATGAAGGTGTTGAGGTGTCAGAGTCTCAGGATGCAAAGTTTTCAGGACGAGTCCAGAGTGACAAAGACGCCCTCAGAGAAGGACGAATCAGACTTCAACTGTCCAGACTCAGGACTGATGACTCGGGTCTGTACCTGTGTGAGGTCAACACTGATTATGGCTTCAGTGTTGGAAGATGTCGACTAAACGTCACTGGTGAGATTATGCAGTAAAACATTGATATCATGTTTAGCAGTACTTTGCATAAATAGAAATGCTCTGTTTGTGCTTTACAAATTTGTTGTGAAATGAATTCTAATATTTGTTCTTTAAAAAAACAAACAAAAAAACCCTTAAATGAATTAAATTTGTTTGATCTCTCTTCAGCACTGCCGGATTGTTCTGAATGTGAGAGAAAACCGGAGACATCAAACACAGAAATTCAACAATTCACAGGTGTCTACTGTGGACTGTCAGCAGTTGTGCTACTTTTCTGCTGCTTTTCTTTCATTTACTATCTGCATAGAAAACAGAATTTTTACTCAAAGCTCAGTGATGCATGTCAGTCAGTTTCCAGATGATCAGTAGAAACAGTCTGACATGTTTTCCTTTAAGTGCTCTTTGCAAGTGTTACATAGGGCCAGAAATCGAAAAATTACCAAGTCAATCTTTTTTTTAAATGACATTTAAAATGTCATGGCCATGAGATAAAAGCTCTAATGCATTTCAGTATACAAACCTTCAAAGTTGTATTTTGCACAGGTGATATTAAACTGTCAATGTGGTGAGACATCCCTTTTCCCAGAGTTGAACATCATAAAGGTAAGACTCGTATAAGCTAAAAAACTGCAATGATTCAATGAAATCTGTTTAACATCCTGATGGATGTACTCATGTAGGTTCAAGCTGATAAAAACTGCATTTTAGTTGTTATGTAACAGAGAGTGCATTAGGACACATGCTGGTCTGAGAATAAGTGTCATGATACACAATAATGGACATCAAATGGAAGTTTTTTATCCTCTGTTTTTTGTTTGTTTGTTTAAGACACATCATCATATTGTCACTCATCAGACAGATGATGAAATGTGCACTGTGTTCACTTTACGGTAATCATGCAGGGAAACACCTCTACCTCACGCAGCACGTGCAGATATAAATTCAGTGTTGAATGTTTTTACTGTTGTAATGTTAAAAGGATTCAGATTAATCATGTTAACAATGATGACGATCTGATGTGTTGTAAACTGTCATGGAGTTGTGTGTAGCAAAGGACATTATACATCAATATTATGTACATATCATGTAACCAACAGACATCTCTACAGGTTCACTTATATCTGTGTTAAATTTAGAGTTAAACACAGCTGGTAGAGCTCCTGTAGCTCTCAGTCCAATGTACAAAAAAGTCTGTCCCAAAATCTCTTGAAGTAAAGGTTTAATGACTTATTTTGTAAAAAGAAGTCAGACTGTTTGTGTTTCATTTATTGTTTCCTCCATATAATACAGAAAACACAGAAAGCCGTAAGGGCTGCTACTTGCTGCAGTCCAACATAAAGAAATGGTTCTCCCTTTAAGTTTTTCCTCTAGCTGATCAGAGGCCACTGTTTGGTGAAAAGCATCAACATGTGTAACATAAATGTATATGGAATTGGTTTACACTGAAACTGAAGCTGTAGAATATCTGGATTTCAGCTAATAATGTTTGTTTTAATACATAATAGATTTATATATAGTACATGGAGGGAACCTACGCAAACATGGGGAGAACATGCAAACTCCACACAGAAAGACCCCGGCCTGATGGTGGAGTTTGCATGTTCTCCCCGTGTTTGCGTGGGTTCTCTCCGGGTACTCCGGCTTCCTCCCACCGTCCAAAGACATGCAGCTTGTGGGGATAGGTTAATTGGATAATCCAAATTGCCACTAGGTGTGAATGTGCGAGTGAATGTGAGTGCGAATGGTTGTCTGTCCCTGTGTGTTGGCCCTGCGACAGACTGGCGACCTGTCCAGGGTGTACCCCGCCTCTCGCCCCATGACAGCTGGGATAGGCTCCAGCGCCCCCCGCGACCCTGAAAAGGATAAGCGGAAGCGATACTTTTATTGTCGTAGTATTATGTATTATTTTATTGTGTTAGCAAAATAACTCTACCTTCCAAGACACAAAGGAACGAGATGCATGTAATATATAAGCTGGAGTGGAGCAAATTGGATTTAAATATAAAGGAATTTGTTACATGACAGTAGGAACTAACATAAAACACACTTACATTTCTTTAGACCCGTTTTCATCCACTGGTCTCCATGAGGATCCATTCTGAAATTAGTAAAGACAAAGAAAAGCACAAATGCTTTTAGCTTAAAAAACCAGACGTTTTCAACTTTTTTCCTTCACAAAAGCAAAATATATTTTCATTATTATGGTATTTTTCCTGCACAAACTTGACTCTTTACCTAAGGGTGTCCAGTCTCCAGCAGGGATCCTCCCGTAGAGGAGACAGCAGCTTTATTCCTGAGTCTCCTGGATGATTGTAGCTCAGGTCCAGCTCTCTCAGGTGTGAGGGATTTGACTTCAGAGCCGAAGCCAGTGAAGCACAGCCCTCCTCTGTGATCTGACAGCCAGACAGCCTGCAAACACAAAACAGCACATGTCACACTGGCAGAGAAAACTACCCTTTTTCAAATATATTTGACTGTTATTTGTTGGTTCTGATTTCACCTGAGAATTTGAAGTGCACATTGTGGACTCCCGAGTCCTGCACACAGTCGCTTAACTCCTAAATCCTGCAAATTGTTGTTACTCATGTCCAGCTCTATCAGTCTAGAGGACGTAGCACTGAGAACTGAGGACAGAGCTTCACAACTTGTCTGTGTGAGGTTACAGCCACTCAGCCTGGAAATGTATTAATGAGAGAATAGAAGACATCCTTTTAATATTTAAGCTGACTAAACTCTTGAAAGTAGCACTGATCGAAAACTCCCACTAACTTGCTTAGTGGTAGTTGCATACTCACAGAGCTTTTTTGCAGATTTTGACCACTGGCAGCAGTCCCAGAAGAGCTTCTGCTGAAGCTGAGTATGTTTTCAGGTCAATAAAATTTAGATTTTTTTCTGATGACAGTAAGATGAAGACCAGAGCTGACCACTGAGCATGGGAAAGATTAACCATAAAAAGATTTCCTGAATTAAGGCGACGTTGGATCTCCTTCACTATAGAGTCATCATTCAATTCATTTAAACAGTGGAAGAGATTGATGCTTTTCTCTGGAGAGGGATTCTGGTTGATCTGATTCTTGGTGTACTGGATTATTTTCTGATTTGTTTGTGAACTGCTTCCTGTTGGTGTCAGTAGGCCTTGTAGGAGTTTCTGGTTGGATGGCATTGAAAGACCAAGGAGGAAGCGAAGAAACAAATCCAAGTGTCCATTTGGACTCTGTAAGGCCTTGTTCACTGCACTCTGGTAGAAGTGGCTTTCAGAAACATGCACTGAGACTGTTTGTTCCTCTTCCAGCAGGTTGACATTAGAGTTGGTGAATGTCAGATGGGCATGAAGCGCAGCTAGAAACTCCTGAATGCTCAGATGAATGAAGCAGAACACCCTATCTTGGTACAGCCCTTTCTCCGCTTTAAAAATCTGTGTTAACACTCCTGAGTACACTGAGGCTTCTCTGACATTAATGCCACACTCTGTCAGGTCTGATTCATAGAAGATCAGGTTTCC